TTAAGAGCATATTTTCAGTATTTTCTGGTGATATATCTTTAGAAGTATAAATACATACACACATTATTTTTGTTACTTGAAATAATGGCGCGTATGCATAAGAGTTAAATAATTGCCATTTCTTGTGATTTTAGACCATTTACTTATATTAATTTGAAAAAATTGAGTATAAGGTCTGAAATGTTAACAAAAAGCAATTATTTATATTTTATTCATACGGCCCAATCAATAGCAAGCAAGAGGAAAAAATATTTTAGCAAAGTGTAGTATTAAACGTACGAAATTTCTTTAAAGCTGCATATTGGTTTAGGAAATTGTAGAAGAATAAATTTCTTTTTTCATTTCTTGCGCGTTTTTCTATACTAACTTGGTTTTCCTTGAGAGATAGGTGTGTAGATAGTATCTAAGAATTTTGAGAAAAAAAATGAACGAGGTGTGCTCCCTACGGTAGATGAATTAACTTTATATTTTTTTGGCATTGGCGATCGCCCAATAGCCAAGGGGTTTTAAAATAAATTGGTGTAATTAGCAGTCTGTTAAAGGTTAACACGCGCCACAAAAGGAGGCGAAAAGTGTGTTTTTCTCTTTTATTAAGTATTTTTAAATAGAAATACCATTTATATTCAACCATTTATATTACATTTGCAACATCCCTAATACATACATATGTGCAATTAAAAGTATTCCCGGCAGGCAATTTTGCTGTGAATCTTCAGACAAACGTTGAACTACACACCTCCGCTGAACATATTTCGAGAACCATTCAAGTTCGATATTCTTTCTTTATTCTAATGCTCGATCCCCCTTAACTTATCGTTATTGCACTGTTTTAAATATTTAAAAAACGGCTGCCTATGGTATTTTTCAAAATTAGTGTTTCTTTTGAGACTGGCAGTGTTAATACCGTGTGCGAACACATTCCTATACTACAAGTACATATGCGATTCTCTGATTGCATAATGGTTGAAGCGTACTCAAGCATTGCCGGCAAGCCAACGCAAAAAAAAGCAATAATAAATAAGGCATACTCGTATGTATATTATAAAATCAAGTTTTTAGTCCAGTGATGAGTACCAAAGATAAAAAAGCAAAACATTTGCAAATGAAAGGCCATTGTCACTTTCGTTCAGCAACGCTTTTCAGTGTTCATATTTTGTGGATATGTAAATATATAATAGGTTCGTTCGCGTAGCTGTTAATTGTTCATGTTTAACCAAAACTTACAAGTTTTTTGCGTTCGCGTACGCAAAAAACTTGCAAAGTAGGGGAAATTGAGAGAGCAAAGTGACATTTCATTTTGAGGGGAAGCTGCTGGATTCTGCTGGAAAAATTTTTGCCAACAGCAATTTGCCAACAGGAAAACAGCTGATCAAAAACAGCTGGTTGGCATTTACGCAAATCACAAAATTGAATTTGATGGTTTGGAAGTTAAAAATTACAAAATGCGACTAATTAAACTTGTAAGAAGTAAGTAGTTATTTGTTTAATCAATAAACTGTGCCAGGATGCCACTTTGTAATGAGTTTTCGTACGTTTTAAATTTTACACTTTTGAATGTAAACAAAAATTATATCAGCTGTTCGTCTAACTTGCAAGTTTCTGCAAATTTTCTGTTCGCGTACTATTTTGGATATTTCTCTCTTGTGAGCGAATAGATGACATTTCGCCGGAATTTGGCAGTTGGTTGGTTTCTGTTGGAGATTTTAAACGAACGCACCTAATATTGTACGTAGTACGTATATAGTATATACAGTGGTCCACAAAATAATAGGAGTACGTTATTTTGGTCAGTTTTTGCTATTTGTCTTTTGTTTATTTAATGTTTATTATTTTTATACAAAAGTCAAGCTGGGTATACAACAAACAGCGAATAAATTCAGATTTCAACCTTTGTACAAAAATTATTAAAATTCTGTAAATTTTCACCAAAATATCAAACTTTTTAATCAGAATCTTCAGAGAAAATTCTGGTATGCAGTTTTATAGCCCATTCAATTCTAGTCTGAAGAAGTGCAAGTTTCAAGCTGCTAAAAAATTCCGTTGATTTTTGGCAATTTTTTTTGCTGGCACTGTCCCCATATAAAAGAAAATTGTCGAACATACTTTGAATGGAAAAAACGTGAAACACCTTCAACCGAAAAAATTCTCAAAAATCAACGGAATTTTTTAGCAGCTTGAAACTTGCACTTCTTCAGACTAGAATTGAATGGGCTACAAAACTGCATACCAACATATTTTTTAAAGATTCTGGTTAAATAGTTTGAAATTTTGGTGAAAATTTGCAGAATTTTTATAATTTTTGTACAAACTTGAAAATGTAAATTTATATGGTGTTTGTTGTATTACCAGCTAGGCTTTTACAAAAAAATACGAAACATTAAATAAACTAAAGACAAATAGCCAAAACAGGTTAAAATATTCCACTCCTATTATTTTGTGGACAACTTACCTTAGATAATTTCTTTAGAATCGTTTGTTAATTGTATACATTGGCAGTAACATATACGTATTTTAAATTTAATAAATGTTGCTGGTTCCCTGTTTAATTCTTCCGCCTTTACTCACCTTTTGCCTCGTCGTTTGCACGCGCAGCCGCTGCCACTGCTACCGCTGCTGCAGCAACTGCATTTCCCGTTGCTGCCCCTTGATGATGTTGAGGTGACATTTGCAACGGTGTTGGCAAACCCGATGACGGTGCTGATGATGACGATGGCGACGATGACGACGGTGATAAGGACAACGCATGCTGATCCTTCAGCTGTTGCAGCGTCGTCAACTGCTGCTGCCCCAAGTTTTTGGCGGCATGCGCAGTATGCTGCAGCGTTTTGGGCGCTGCTGTGGTGCAAGCTGCAAATAGCATTCTGAAGCGTAGCTGGATTTCTCCTGTCTTCAGCTGCTGCTGCTGCTGTAACTGTAACGACTCCTTCGGCTGTACACCTTTGACGCCGCCGTTGCGGTGGAGAGCATAAACTTCTGGTATATGCTGAAAAAGGCAACCACTGTTGTAGTCGCTGGTGTATTTGCGGAATAATCGAACACCCGGTAAACTTATGTGAGCACTGCTCAACAACTATTTACCCACTAAGCGGTGTTACGAGTATAGAATGTGTGTGAATGTTGTAACACACAGAAATCGCGATAAAACAATTATTTTGCAATTTGCTTTGGGTGCAACGGAAATTTTACTGGGCTCACACGATTGCAAAAATCTAAGAATAGCGAAAGACTCTTGCGCTCACTGCAGCTTGTATACTTGTTGGTACTGTTGAATCAGAAATGAGTGCAATCCCTTCTCTCTGGTCCAATATTTTCACAGGGATAGTCTGCTTGTTTTTGCTTTTGTACAACAATTTTATACATACATAAACTAGAGGCAGCTTCGAAGCTCTCACAACATATATCTTCTTAGGTTGCACCTGTTCTTGGGCGTTTTTCCACTATTTCTCACTATACTACTCTTCGTAGGATTTCGATTTTTCCTGGACGTTTCGGTATTGCTGTTGTACTTATATATTGATGCCAATATGGGCTGCTTCAATGGGCGTGACACTTTTACTTGTTTTATAGAAGAATCTTAAACGATACACTTGAAAACTCTGAAAAATCGCTATACGCGATATATGTACATATGATATACGTTGCTAGAACAAAATCAAATCATTTAATAATCCAAGCGTGGTGATTTAAATTGCAAGTTTTTCATTTCGCGCACTATACACACGTACAAAGTAAATAAATATTTAGTAGTTCGCACACTCGCGCTCTTCCTACAGAATTTCCACAAGCCAAAGAAATTACACTATGCACCGGCTGTTTTCCACAATATATGTACACATGTATTTAACTTTTTCTTTCAATTAAAACATCCAGAAATTTCACAAGGCTTACGGGCAACGAACCGAACAACGATGTATACAAATGCCAACCGAAACGAAAGGCTCACGATGAGGAAAACGCTTCTGTTTCTTCGTCTTTTTTCCGGGTTCTATTTGCAGCAATACCAAACGCAGGAGTTGCCATACACACACACACGTAAATATATGTAAATTTATTAACTTTTCTTATTTTAACCGGCTTTTAAACCTGTTTTTAATAGCATATATTTCGAGGCGAGCAGACTTCAGAAAATTTCCTGTTGATCAAACAAAAGAATCGATAACTCTGTCGATGAAGCTTTGATCAGCTGCTCAGGTGTGTGCTAATTGAATTCTAATAAGCGGTGATATGGCAACTTCCGATTGGATACGACAGCTGCTGGCCGCTGCATGGTGGCAGTGTTCACAGCAATGCATTAAGATATCGATATTACGATAAAAAATTATTAACAAAAAAGAAACATTTATAAATAAATATTGGGCCGTATGAATAACTAAGCAATTGCTTTTTCTTAAAATTTCATACCGTTTACTTCAATTTTGTTTGAATAAATCGAGTAAAATGTCTGATATTTAAGAAGAAGCAATTGCTTATTTTTTATTCATATGGCCCATTAATACATACGTATCTATAATTTACCGAATGAATCCAGTAAAATATTAAATAGTAAATTAATTCATTTTGATGGCAAAAGTCGAATATGGTACAGACATTATGAAATATTACAATTACACAGTGCAATGTACTTAAAGAGTAGATACAATAAACGATATTTTAAATGATTACACAATAAGTAGCTCTGCAATGGATTGCAAATAATTGATTATGATTCCGACAAGATCTAAATATTTCGAAAGCCCTGTTAATTGGAGCGTCTGAAATCTATCAACACAAGAATGGACGAGCAGTCAATTTTACACGAGGGTGTCAAGAAGGAATGAAACGGACAGAAATGATCTTATATTATTTAATGATAATAAACTCATCAATTGTCTACGAGACTCTTAGGATAGAATCGGTTCAGGAAAAATTAAGCAAAGTACAAGCAAACGTGGGAAATATTTAAACTTATAGAGGGCCATCCATCCAAACATGTAAAAAATATACATGAATAACACCTATCGATTTTTAGAAAATGTTTAATTTTGCAATTTATTTATTTTATTTGCCTTTCAAAGTTTCATCAATTACTACACCAAAATCATTCATAATCGACCATATTTCACTAGATGTTACTCCGTACCACAGAGAACGCACAACAAGTACAACGAACAGTAATTCGCGTATTTGTAAATGTTTCTTATTCAAATCACTGCCTGGCCACCAACGCCACCAACTATCGTTTGATTTACCTTGCCTATAACTTTCATAACTTTTCTCGTTGTCAGCGTTGTTGCCTTGGCCGTATTTTTATGCAAACATACGCAATTCATCACGATGCGCTATTGGTTTAGGTGGTGATGGTTCCTCCCATTCTCCCAATTCGGCATCATAATATTGCGCTGCACGATATGGCCGCAATTCCCATGGTACTTGATCCTCCATGGCAGTTAGTTGTACACCTAAATCCTCCAGACATGGTATGTCCGAACGCACGACATCGGTAACACATTCGCGTTCAATACGCTCCACATGTACTTCGCCTATGGGTTGGCCTGGACAGATAAGTTCTGTGAATTTGGCTTTGAGAAGGAAAGTAGGGTCCCAACGCATGTCATAGCGATGATAGCCCCACCATTTTTCGTCCTTGCGCATAACGCGATGGAACCAGTCGACCAATTCACTCAGCTGATAGCGCTTGGGGCTGTAAAAATTAGATTTTTAAAAAATGTGATATAATATTTTATGACACTTACCCCACAGCTTGGTAAACTTGACCGGCGGTATCTGGATCCTTAGCGCAATTGATAATGGCTTGCGCTACATCCGACACATAAACCGGTTGTTTTACAGTACGCTCTCCGGCGAACCATAGTGGCATCGCGCGGAATTGACGACGCCAAATGTGAGCATAATAGCGGAGGAAACGATCCTCAGAACCATAGATATCTGCTGGTCTGATAATGGTTGCATCAGGGAATTCATCGCGTACCGCGCATTCACCCCAGTATTTACTCTTCAAAAAATTACTCCCACCCTCGAGAACAAAGCTCATGGGTTCGGGACTAGCATTCAGTGCAGACAAGTGAATCAACCGTTCAACGCCAGCTTCTTTGCTGATTCTGTAAAAGAGATACGAATAAATATTTGTATATGAACCAAACCTATACCATAATTTAGTTTTTGGCATACCTAGCAATACGGCGAGCACCTTCTACATGCACATCGTTGAACTTGAAGTTCTTCGTCTCGAATTCGCGACCGATTAAATTGATGACAACGTTAGAGTACTTCACAGCATTGCGAATAGCCTTTTCGTCTCTTAAATCGAAAAACTGGAATAGCACTTGGCCCAAATCGCCGCATACCTTTAGACGAATAGCCTCACCGAAATCAGCACGATAGGGAAGAATCATTTGGGTGCCAGTTTTGCCCAGTTTATTGCAAACATAGCGCCCCACAAAACCTGTACATCCAAATACGGTTGCAACAATACCATTGAAACTGCTGCGTCCGCCGGTACCGCGACGCATCGTGCCGAGATTGGTTGACTTCAGTGGGCGGGGCGCATCGGAAGAGCTCGACGAGTGGCGCACGCAAAATACACTCAATGCGGCACTGCCCTGTTGCTCTGAAATAGAAAGAAGGAACTCTGCATAATCACACCAAATTATTGGAAATATTTCAGAGCTAAACGTAAGTTACATAAGTTTTATACATACTCGTCATAATACTTTTAGTATACTCCATTGCAACTTACTTGCTAACTGGCCATTGCGCAGCAAAATTAATGAGGACATTTCGAATTATTTCACTATTTGGTTTGGAATTAAATCCCCTAAAGCCGTCGAAATTTTGATACCCCAAGAAAAATTCGCGACCAAGTCGTATATAAAAACACCCCCGAAACGAAACACTTCTGACGTCTGTTTTGTTTTTGTTTTCAAGTGTCATCCGCTGAATTCATGCACTACCGGAAGTACAAGGTGATACTTTGAACATAGGAACATGGGAAAGAAACGATACACCGCAGACAAATTAAAGGCCCTACATACGCAGTGAATTACCCTGGTCAAATACGACGACAATGTGCGCGGGCATGTTCATGCTTGGGGTGAATGTTCGTCGTTTGTGGGGTGGTTTGCTAACATTGCATTGGAAACAAAACAACAACCTCGTAATAGCAAAGGTAAATTTATAAGAACGGAACGCTCGTTACTTTGAAAATGTGCGCGGCGAAAAAGTCGCGGCCATCTTTTTTTTGTTAGGTCGGTGTTATGCAGACAAACTTTTGTTTGCCAAATTAAATGGCGGCTGCTTAGTTTGCTCGGAGGTGTTTATGTCGAGTTTGGCACAGGGTTGCACGTTCATTATGGTTTTCATGGCTATTGCCAACACTAAATGAAAATTTCAGATGTACAATTAATATATTTTTATGATATCGTATAGGCAATTAACTGTGCCCTTATCTTTGAACCTCCTGCAGCATTAATTCAATTCTCTTCAACGTTCTTTGTCGCCCCCAAGCAGAATTTATACAAGGTGGTGTTCAAGGCGAATTTGTACAAGGTGGTGTTGATGGCGAATTTAGATTTTTGCCGCGGTACTTCCTAATGTCAAAATGATGTTGTAAACATGGTGAATTCATAAAGAAATAAATTGTATAAATTCGCCTTGGTGGTGTTACTGCCGAATTTAGATTTTTCCCGCAGTCCTTATGAATGTCAAAATGATGTGTTTCTTGTAATATAAATTCGACTTCAAGGAGAAAATCTAATTTTCCATAACACCACCTTGTATAAATTCGCCTTGGCCACCTTGTATCAATTCGCGTTGTTCGCGTTCATGATTCAATAATACAAGGTTAGATAATTATTGACAGCGGCGGTTTGACACTCCCTTACAAAAGGTTGCATTTACAAAGGACGGAGAAAAGGGAAGGAATGAAATCTCTTGGTGCAAAAATGGTAGTAGAAAAATACGCAATGTAGGCAATTAGTAGTAAAATTTCTTTTGTAAATTCTAAAGTATTTGCAGGAAATCTGGCATTTTAAACGAAATGTTGAACGTAATACTGATGTATCTATGTGAATTACGTAATTTATGTGCTATTTAGCTGTATAAAAATTGCAAAATGACTCAAAATTAAAATAAGACTACTATGAGATTGATGTAAACATCCAATTTAAAAACAGTTTATGTTTTCATCAGTTAAATATGCTTCATATGCATATACAAATAAACATATTGCACAAACGCTCATACTTCTATTTCACACCACAGCTACACTGTTTCCATGTAAAAGTACAAAGAAGCAACACGGTGCCACAGCTAAGGGAGCGGTGCGAGAGAGACAACTGTCAGTTTATCGAACCTAGTATTATTGAATCATGGTTCGCGTTAAGATACATGTTCGACGATGACAAATTTCTTTGCTCGATAAACTAAAGATTTTGTAAAAATCGATAAATGGGCTACATCTTTATAAAAGTGTTAAAACAGCAGCCACGGAAAAGAAATTTGTGCTGTGGAAAAAAAGGTTTTTACTGTGTAAACTATACAAAAACGCATAAAGCAAATTTCTTTTGCAAAGAAATTTCAATATGGATTTGTAAACTACAAGAAGTTGCAAGTCCACAATAGCAAGTTAAAGCAGGGAATCTCGAAAAGTTTTTTGCATCTGAAGAGCGCTGTTGCGACCACAATTGGCTGCCTGTCGAAACGCACATAGCGCTGCTACGCTCACCGGCTTTGCTGCATGCTACTATACGACTTGTAAACTAAAATGAGTTCCGCCATTGGAAAGCCTGCGGTTGCAACAACGAGTGAGTGTAAAATTCTATTCCTTTTTTATTACACATGTTAATTTTATTACAAGCTTAATAACTAGCACTGCATTATGATTGTTGGTAGGTATTTGGAATATATTTTGGTAATCTTTAGTTATTAACCAACTGTTTGTTAGATTACCGGCTAGAGGGGGAGGAGGCGTGGCTCTTGATACTCCACCCACTAGCAAGAGCACGGTTCAAACTTTGTAATGAGTCATACCTGACTCCTTCACCCCTTCCTCAGACCTTGGGAATCATTTGAATGGGGTAAAATTAGCATTTAGCACAGAAATTGTAGACTCGGAATACCCTCATCCGTTCAACTCCGTCTAGGCGATCCATAGTATTTTTGCACAGAAATCCTACTGAATAAATAAATAAATAAATTCACAAAAAAGGACATATTTCAAGCCGAATTTATTAATAATTTAGTGACAAAAAAAAAAGGAAATTTGGTTTTAAAATTAAGTTTACGCTCATGAGATTCATTACGACGATAGATTATGGCCTTACCGTCAGAGCAATCAATTTTATTTAAACGAAAACATGCTTTTGTTGCAATCATAAATATTTTTGAAGGTTGTGAATTGCGTTAAAATAATTTAATATTTCTCTCGAATTGCAACACCTTTCTCTTTGACGGTAAAATATGTTTTGTCGAGATATGCTATTTTGTTTGTCCGTGAAAGACAGACTTAAGTTGTCCGTCAAATGTTCACAGAATTCGCTACTTAGATTTTGCTTTCCTTTCGATTTAGCTGCATTTCCAGTGAAAGAGTGCAGATGAGAACATCTTTCGGACAGTATCAAATAATGATGAATATTAATCATTGCGGCAATAATTTTAGCTACATAAGTATCTGTCTTCCGGGACGTCGATGTTTTTCTCCTAAGCCGCTGTCCTAACCAAGTAAACTTTTATCAACCTATTTGAGTAGCTTTCCATTCATTTATTCATATTAGAATAGTAATTAGTTATTGAAATATAATTTAGACATGATTTGGCCGAATTAAAAGCTCCTTCACGGATTCACATCGTGTATTTCCAATCTATCTTACTTTTGTATACTTATTTATAGGTATCAATAATTTAATAAATTTTTGTTTAAATAATTTTTTAGACACTACAGCTGCTCAGTTGCTCAGCTCTGCGCCCAGTGCAGCTGAGAAAAATAAGCAATGGCAGCGAGAACTGCTTATGGAGCGTATACGTTCGCGATCCAATCAACACAAATCATTTGCCGAATTATCAAAAGCCATGCGTATGTCCATGCTGGAGAAACGATATGCCCTCGACGCTGTGGAAAAGGCTAATTTGCAAAAATGTCTCGATAGCATGCAGCATTGCATTAAAGTAACATCAAGACAGGGTCTAGTTGAACGCCTCGAAAGCTTATCACGACAGTTGGGGCTTAAATTCATGGAAGACACTTCAGGATTATTTATTTCGACTGATATGTTCTTTTTGGAAATCATGTTAGATACGAATGGCGCACTCACCGATGTGAAAGTGCATCATGAGTGTAAAATTGAGCAACAGTCCTGCAGTGAGTTAGTGAACTGTTTAAATCGTGGTGACTTTGCTGATTTTACGGTGCAACTGGAGGGTCTGTCCTCGATCTATCAATTGAATGCGGAACCAAAAGTCAAAACAAAGGCCTTTGTTGCATTGCAAGCGATGGAAACAGATTTGTATAATCTTTTTCAAATGCAAAACTTCACAAAAGACTCACAGCATCTGGTCAAGGCATCCTCAGTGGGCTTGGTGTTGAAGAGGCGTGGTGGTCATCCCATGAAACTCATATATTTCGTCTCACCTTACGATCTTATATCGCTGGAGTCTAAATCAGTACAACAGCTCACCACTGAATTGATTACAGGCAAAGATGTCGGCCTAAGTGTGACAGTGAATTTGGAGGCTTCGTCAGCGAATAAGTTACAAATATTGCCAATTGTGAGCGTTACAAACGACCCACAGACTGGTCTCGAAGTACCTATATATGCGCCACTTACACAACAAAACTCAATGCTTTTCCCTGCAACATTTGTGCTGCGGCTAAATAAACCACTACCAGTATGTCATGCTTCTTTGAGAGCACTAGGGATCCCGTTGGGTGTTGCTTCAGATACCACCAGTGGCATTGAATCGCCCAACAAAAAGGAAATTGTTATTTTACCCATTATGAATTTGGTGGTACAGACGGCCTCCGAGCAACAGCTGAAAAATTCACAGAAGGGATTGTTTGTGAATTTGCCTGATCAGACACACTGCTATTTCTTCACTGAAAACAAACAATTGCAGGTGGGTATTGCATTTTACAGTTTGGGCCCATAGAGTCAAAATATTTTTAATTCTTTGTAGACTTTCATATGCTTCACCTTATTTTAACCCCTCGATTTGTTTTCGCAGGCTACTTTAGTTTCATCCATTCCCTATACCGAGCCCATGCAAGTACCAAAAATCTTAGATTTTCTCAAACGGCAGGCCCTCTTCTATACGCTTCTGGCTAGTTGTGTGCGTACACAGTCAAAAATGGGAAATGGTGAGCTTTTCGTGAACTTTTGCTAAATAGTTTTTGAAAATAATTTTATATTTTTCCCCTTCAGACATGGAATCCACTACAATACTCGAGGTGAATGCAATCTCCTTCCAGCAGATTAGCGTCTCGCTACAACACCCTTACGAGGAATCTATGGCTACCGTGGAGTTCGATTTGCGCGATGGCGATGTAAAGTGTACAATATACTCACTCACTAACAACTACGACTTGCTGTCATTGAAACTCACGAAGATTGTGGAAAAGTGCTTGTCCATACCGGTGACTATACGTGCGCTACTAAAGTTCTGGGATCAAGAAACGATGAAAATGTTTCAACGCAGCATGGGCGGTGGCGTCGGGGGTGGAATAGGCGGTTTGGGTGGCACAGGCGCTTGCGGTGGTACAGCCGCTGGTGGTTATGGAAATTTTAGTATGATTGTAGGACACAACGACTCGGGCGGTGGTAGTGGAGTGCGGGGCGGTAATGCCGTGAAAATGGAACCTAATACAAGGCAGCAGCAAATGCCTACTATGGCTTCTGCATCGACACCATTAAGTGGTGGTGGTGGTGGCGCAGC